TAAGGGAGACTCCTAGAAGCTGGGCATCTACTAAGGGGGACTGAGAATGGCTGCAAGTCAGGGATGGCCTGGAGAGACCAGAAGCTGGGAGAGACTAGGAAGCCTCCCACTCCTAGAGACTGTGGAATCCGACTCCTGTAAATCCCCAGTTACAAACATCCAATCCACATACAACTCCTACTTGACCTTTAATGCGTTAATCGGACCTTACTTTAAACCAACCTTGACACCAATTATCCATCAGTCACCTTCGCTTGCAAGGCCTACAGGTTTTAAATCATTGAACGGGCTGCGTCTCATCTTGCACGAACCAACACCCCTGGCTGTGCAGTGGGTCCCAACTCCTAGACCGATGGACAGGATCTCAGAGGCTGTGAATCTCGCTGGGAGCAGAGAGCTTCGTCGCACCCCTGCTAGGCCGCTGTCAGGTTCAAACGGGTGACCTTGCAGTTCAACCTGAAGCCCATTATGCCAAGAATAAGGCTAAATAAGAACCACACCACCCGTTCTGAACCAGTACAAATCCCACTGAGAGACACACTTCGGAACGGTCTCATGGACACACTAGCGGTTAGAACTGGTAGTCGTCAGCCCAGGAGAACTGAATACAGCATGCCCATGTACTCTCTAGCCACCTGACACTGGCGGTCACAATCTTGGACCCTGCAGCTGCAGACTCCTCCCATCATCCCCAAGGGTTCTGGAGGCCCCCCCTGCATCGAATCCAGGACCCCAGGACTCCAAAGCTCGTGTTCTCATCATGTGACCCAGCTGATCCTCCTAAACGTTCTCAGAGACGTGCGGAGTGGGCGCGGCTCACGTTCCACACAGAGTGCTGGAAGAGTACCGCCTGGGAGCTTTGCAGACTCAGGTCTGGTCTGCGTCCCGGGTCCCCTGGTAAACCCTTGCTTTCTCCAACCCTCAGTTTGCCCATCCACTAAGGGCAGCTGGCACTGGGCTTCTGGGAGCTGCAGGAGTCGGCCACGGGAGACAAAACTCCCTGCAAACTCACTGCCATCCGGTCAATTCTGCCTCATGGAGACACGACAGGGCAGGGTAGAGCTGCCCCTGTGAATGTCGGAAACTGTAACTC